TAGGAGGCCCTCGTATGGCGATGTTCGGTTGCTCGTACGGTACTGTGCCGGATTTAGGAATGCAGTCTTTCGGCTTATGTAGGGCCGCTGTAGCATCACCCCCCCTGTTGTTCGTTGGCATGCAGATGGATGCAGTCTTGGTATGCTCAGAAAAAACATTTGGAGGATTCTGTGCAAGAAGACCCTGCCATCACCAACCGGGAAGAGTAGTTCATGGCCTATACTAACAAGTGTCTTTCCGGACATCGGGTAACACCTGTGGTGGGCAGGCTGGTGCACACGACATCGGCCGCACCATGAAACGATGAAACTCCTGGCATGCACGGGAAGACATCGCCAGCAAGTTAGGCATGTGTTTATGCCTTGGAAACATGTTGCCTCGATTCACGGTGCGCTTGTGAGATCTGAGATCCGCAAAGACAGACCTGGCAACTTTTGCGGTTAATCGCAGCTTGCATCTGACTTGTGGTGAGCGAACGCTCCTTCCCGTCACATGCTTGGGCCTCAGCGCGCGGCTTCAAAAAAGAGCTAGGACGTCAGCAGCTCTGGTTCGCAAGTCGCCCTGCCTGGAGAGACTTATAAGATTCGGTTTGGGCCGCAGATCCGCTCTGAATGGAGTGGCAGATGGCAGCGGCTTCGGCATGAGTTTATTCATTCGATCTCAAGACGTTGCTAATCTTGCCAGGGTTGGACTCAGAGGATATCAGTACTCCCGGCTACTTCGGACACTGTGAACCAAGAGTCAGGGCCCAGTTGTTTTCGAACAACGGCCCAAGCAGGTGCATAGCCACATGCCGAAAGTTGTGAAACAGTCATAGTGCAGGTCTGGAGAACAGATTTTCTCTTGTCTTGCTTCATTCTACTGGTTTTCGGCAGTGGGCCCGAGCAAGCTCGCTTGAAAGGCGGCATGACGCAAGCTCCGGGCTTGTTTCGAGTCTCGTGCAGAGCTAATTTCCTCCCGCATGCAGGGAATTTAGGACGGAAAGCACTGGATGTCGCCAACGTCCTGTTTTGAGACTTTAGCCCGAGACTGGCTGCAACATCTGGGGTAATTAGCCGTGACCTTTCAGCTGAAGTTGCGCCTGGTTTAGGTTGACATCCTCGTGCGCATGACAAGAATTGACAATGACCCCTATGAGCCCCTCCCTTGCTCTGAGTTGCAGACTTTCCTCATGAGATGCGAGGAGTGAGTTGCAGGTTCGACGGGAAGCAGGCCATAGACGCTACTCCATGCCTAAACCCGGGTAGCAGCGTATTTTCGTCGGGGGCCTGAGGATTGCCGATCGGTAAAGACCTTGAGAGCCTCAGCAAGTTGCTTGCAGGCTCGGGTACCTTCCGGTTGGCGACGGTCAGCAAACTCCGCTCCTTTTTTGATTGAACTGAATGTGCCCCGGTCTAGCCCTCCCAAACTAAAGTAGACCAATGTACATCTGACAAATGCAGGCCACCGGGACCCAAGTTTCGATCCATGCTGACAGCCATTTCAGACTGGCCAGTCCGGTCTTAAGGTGGCGGGTGCTGGTCCATCAATCGCTTATGTCAACATCGTGTGAGATCCATCTGCGCTGGCAGCAGTGAGAAGCTGCCTGCAAGGTAGATCGCCTCGACTTTTTTGTTGAGAGTTTCAATCAAACTGAACCCTGGCTGGATATCCGCGTCATGACCTTCTCCAGCGTGCTTTGGAGGCGTGCCTGCGCCTCAGCAGCCACAGCAGCTGTGTAGTTTGGGACGAGCGCACTTATATTGTGTCCCGGCGGGTTCCCTGCAAGCATACGGCCTTGCATTTTGTTGCGGACGAAGAAGGAGGCGAACCACTAGCATAGCAGAGAAAAGGACAAGATGCATCGAGCTAGTGTGTCATGCCAACGCTGCCATGTGTCACTGGACCAACGGCAAATCAAAGCACGAGAGGCAGGTCTCCCATAGAATAATCCGTGTAGTTCTCGCAGTCTCTTAGTTTGAGATTTGGCTGCCATGTTGTAGAGATATCCCTGCTATCCCGGTCTTTGCATTCGGCATCCGGTTGATCACAATGCGTTTGGATCGAGATGTCGATCTAGCAATCTATCTGTCTGCCTTTCTTGCTATCCGCTAGTCTATCTGTCTGGCTAACTGTCTGTCTCTCTGTTTGTCTGCCTGCGCCTGCCTGCCTGCCTGCCTGCCTGTCTATCGATCTAGTATCTATCAACATACCTACCTGTCTATCTGACTCTGTCTTCCTTGCCTATACAAAGACCCATAAAGCCTATCAGCCCTAAAAGCCCTAAGACATAGTCAGTCTTCGGAAGGTCGGTTAGCCCGAGCTCTTCCGTAGGCTCGAGCTCCGTCTCATCAGGAGCTTCCGGGCTTTGGCTTCGGGCCTTCAGGGCGCACGGCCGGGGTTCTTTCTAGAGATGGAGGGTCTTTGTTTGGGCTAATTTGGGTTTCAGCTTGAGGACTAGGATCCACATGTTCAGGGATCCTAGAGCATGACTCCGACTCTGTATCCCTTTGCATGCCGTTTCTGGGTTTTGCGCACCCCGAGAGCAGAGTTGGAAGTTTTCGTTGCCAAATCCGAAGCCGTTGTTGCACCCTTCCAATTGCCGCCTTCCAACTGTGTGGCCTCCAGGGTTTAGGGTGTTTTGACTCTGTCGGGCTGTAGGCTGTTTGGGGTTTCACTGGCATTTAGCTTGGTATTCATGTGGGGTTGTGATGGGGTTTGTGGTGGTTTATATATGTGGCAGCATTCACGGGTCCCCCTCGCCTCCCTGTCCCCTTGGTAGTGCTAGAGGCTCCCGTTTCAATGGAGCGACACGCGCTTCGCATTACATATGTAGGTTCTAGTACCAGCAAGATGCAGAAGTTATGGGAAATTGAACCCTCAGTGAGCCATCCCTGTGTCTGTTGGCATTCTTGCCATGTCGCCATCATGCGAAGATCCCAAGCCAGGCATAAAAGCGGCCACTCGGTTTGGGGTTGGGTTCAGGGTGTTTAAGTGTTCAGGGTTTGGGGGGATTTTCCGCGCTGCACTGCAGCCTCAGCTTCGCAGAGCAGGCCAACCATGCCTTTCTCGTTCGAAACCTGCCGGATGGCGCATGTTTTCAGGACATCGGCGACCAGTCTTGGATCCCATTGCAAGGCGGGCCGGTTCCAGCATGCATCCCAGGCAAAACGCCCTGGACCCTAGCCCATCTCTCCACGAACCCTACGAAACCCTAGGCCCCCATGTTGACTCTATCACTGCTTGTCACTACAAGCCATGGAGGCCGCGAGGTCCTCCGCTGCCTTCTGCCGGTCGACTGTTGCTCGCCACAGCACAGCAGGTGCACCGTGTAGTGCACCCTTGGGTTGTTGGGGCTTGGGGCCGTTTAGGGTTCAGAACTTGTTGAATAAGTGCCACGGATCCGTGCACACTTCCGAGCTTGAGACAGAACTGTGGTACCAGGTGTTGCGGCTGCCCAAAATGTTCTTCAGATGGGTAGGGTCTTTGCAGATCTGCGGCTCTTCAGCCTGCCCACTGTCTAGTCCAGGGAATTGCGAGACAACTCCAACACCATTCCAGGCCGTTCCATGATGGTCTTCAACTCCAGACTCCAGGGCCGCTCCCGAGACTCCAAGAGCCAAGTTCACGGCGCGAGCGGCACTCTGGCGAGAGAAAGCATGCACGGCGCCTGTGCGAGATAGCGCGAGGTCCGAAAGTTTCGACCCGTTTGAAAACGTACGAAACCTGCAAAACGCGAGCGGCGCTACGGAAAGAGTACAAAGCTCTTTTGACTTCCTGCCCTCACTTTCCTGCCTCCCGGCACCCCGAATTGGCCCCGAGCCAGCAAAGGCTGAAGACCCACACATGCAGCAATAGGAAGCTGCCGAACTCCTGCCTGCAAAGAACCCTTCGTATGCTTCGTATATATAGTAGTTCAACTTCTACTGATACATTATCACCCTTCCGGTCAGGAGAGCCGCGAGACTTCACCGCACTCTGCGCGATCCGGTCCGGCAGCTCCCTGAGGCCGGAGGTCGAAGCCATGGTGTCACGTGGCTACGGAAAGGCCGAGGTGTCCAGTTCTTCCTTCGGCCTCATGTGCAGGCCCCGGCCGGACTTGTGACATGGCTTGCTTCTGGTCCTGCTCCGTCCATTGCGTTTGAAAGTGCAGCGGGAATCGGATCCAGTGTCAAGGGTCAGTATGGAAAGCCCATGTCAAAGCCTCGTCGATTGCCTGTGACATATGCTAGTCTGTGTGCATCGCCGGGCCGAAACAGATGGAATAGCCAGCAGCACCACGACAAGCATCGTCGAACCCCCGTGCCCACCCCGAACTTTCGTCGAACTGTTGTTCTGGGGGGTCGTCTCTATACTAAAACTTAACCCTACATTAAGCTCGCCAAACCCTTATTAGAAATGGGTCCTTGGTTTGGGTAAGATAAGATTCTAGACAACAGCAGTAGTGACTCAGTAGTGCTTCAGGCCAGCGTCGCTGCTCGCAGCTTTTGGACGTTTGTTGGAAAGTTTCATGAGCATTATCATTCTGAGGCTTGTGGTTCAAGAGATGCGCTTGCAGAATCTTTGTTGAGTGATGCGCTTAGCGACTTAGCTTCTAAATTATTGTATAGTAAGTAGCTTATTCTTGGCTCCAAAACACCCGCCTAAATCCTACATACATGCTAATCATGCTAAACCTCTGAACCCTGAACCGAAAACTCTAGACCTCAAACCCCTAAACCCGATTGGATGAGCTACAGTGGCACTTTTCTCACAGTGGCACTTTTCTCGAATTCCAGCCGGTAGAGAGGTCGAAGTCCTCTAGTTGCACGGTGAAGAGACGGTGTGTCAGTCATAGACCTGTCAAGTTCGTGTTTGTCAAGAGACCCGCTGCGCTGCGAAGAATGGACCCTCGCAGTGTCGTCACTTGCGGCTGCCCGTTTTTGCTTCATGCCTTATACAGTGTTTGTGAGAGGCACAGGCATATCATCTAGTACCTGGTAGCATAGCAGATAGTGTTCGAGTTCGAGCTTCGAGAGGCATGGGCATGATCCGAGCAACTGCCGGGCATTCTTCGTTTATCCATGCCTCAGACGAGCAGCTGCAAATGCGATGTGGCGATGTGGTATTCCCGCCTCACTTCCGGCACTATAATTCGGTTTGGCAGGGCAACTTTCCATGTAGTGGACGCATCTGGAGACGGCAGTGTACCTCGCAGGCTGTGCTGCTGTCTCCCGCGTACGAGATTATTTTTGAGATCGTTTTCGTCGGGGTGCTGCCATTAGTGCAGGCCCTTTGCGCTCAAGGATCCTGCGACGCCTTAGGCGTCCTGACGTTGGTCGTTGTTCAGGCATTCCACATGCAAGGCGAGCAGAGGCATGTTGCACGATTCTATGGATTGGGGAACCCATCCTCAGATGGGGATGCTCAGGCACCCCTAGTTATGCCTGCACAAAGGCAGGCCGGAAGACTGCAGCACCGAGCAACCCCCTTTGCCCCACAGCTCTAGTCCTGGTCCTGCGCGAACCATGTACTGGCATTTTGAGGTACTTCCCTCGACACCTAAGCACTATGAAGGCTTAGTTCAGGTCGATCGGCACTATTCGGTATCGCTTCAGCAAGTTTCGCTGCCATCCATAGATGTCAGAATCACAGAGGTTGTTCGAAGCTTCGCTGGGCTTGTGCAATCGTCTGCATCCCAGGAAACCATGCAGGTGCGTGTTCGTAGTTCTGGGACATATTGTATATACGCATGTTTCAGCGTGTACGTACATACATCCATCCATCCATCCATACATCCATCCATCCATCCATACATACATACATACATACGAAACATAATATGTCGAGTGACGGCTTTTGGTTGTGTTATACTACAGTGGCCTAAAACGAGATAGCCCTTGCAGTAATTTATTTGTCGGAACTCGCTCAACTATGGGAGCGAGATAGGGGCACTGCACAAAACGAGATCAAGCATGTTTATGATGCGAAGCAGTCCTGTCAGAAGTCGAAGCTGAAAAGCGATGTTTGTGCGGCATGATTCTGTCCTTTACGCTGCTTTCAGCGGGACTGCTGGTTCTCTTGTGTTTTGACATGGATGTTTGGAGTGGCTTCGTGTAGGTGTTCTGTCATAGACGCATCTTTCATCAGGGCCGCACGGATGGGGGTAAGAGTTTGACGGAGGGTCCCCCGCCCCTTAGACAGAATTCTGCAGAACCCCGCCGGGGTTCTGCAGAACCCCCCCCCATATTAGGCATTATAATAGGAATTATATTAATTCATCTGTTCTGTCATAGACACTTCATTGGGAGGGAGTGCTTGTAGTTCGGCATCGGCAAGTCTTTCCCACAGCACGATGTAGAGTCATGGCCGTTTTGGGTGTGATAGTCACGGCCGTTTGGGGTGTGATAGTCGGATCGAAACGAGATAGGAAACGAGACCAAAAACGAGATCCAGAACATTGACGGAGTCGGCCATATAAGCCTATGGCACATTCACTGCTGCTAATATTACTATTACTACAACTACTACAACTACAACTACTACTACTACTACTACTACTATTATACTATTATTACTATTGTACTACAACCACAACAACAACAACTACTACTACTACTACTACTCCTGCTGCTGCTGCTGCTGCTACTACTACTACTACTGCCAAAACAACAACAACAACTACTACTACTACTACTACTACTCCTACCCCTACCCCTACCCCTACTCCTACCCCTCCTACTCCTACTAGTACTAGTACTAGTACTAGTACTACTGCTACTACTACTACTACTACCACCACTAGTAGTACTAGTACTTCTTCCTCCTCTACTACTACTACTACTACTACTACTACTGCTACTGGTACTGCTACTACTACTACTACTACTACTACTACTCCCGCTGCTGCTACGACGACGACGACTACTACTACCACTACCACTACCACTACTACTACTACTACTACTACTACTACCACCACCTCACCGGAGGCAGGGATCGCGTGGGACTCTTTCACCTACTTCGCCCTGATCAGATCTGTCTGTGCTGCCGGACAGGCGCGTGCCACTGCTTCTATCGGGGTTGAATAAGTGGTTCTTTCAATGCGCGTTTCTCTGTCCAGCTTAAGCTCTGGTGGCCAAGGGAGCGGAGGATGTCAAATGTTAGGATGCTGATCTGATCGATCATGAACACATACATAGTTCAGAGTCCACTTCACAAGAAGCTGTATATGACAAGGGATTATCGGGCACTATACCTACACTGAACATGCTACATGAGGCGAGCTGTGGAGCGCCTCAGCCTGGGTGCTGGTTCCAGATTCCAGCATAGAGCCTATGAGGTTTTGGCTGCGGTGCACCGGCATGAGCAGGAACGAAGCGGGCCAAATAAGACTCCTCAGTCTTCTCGAAGGGGCGGACATCGTGCTGCTGAAGTTGATCTAGTTTTTGCGAAGGGGCAGCGAGCAGGTTGTGTGGTATGTGTGTGTATATAAAATAAACACACATAGACACATCATATTCACATGCATACGAGCACTTGTGCGTATACGCCCGTATAGTCACTATAGATTTCTGTATATGTAATTCACGATTCACGATCTTTTGAATGTGTGAGTCCTTCGTTCCCTCTCTATCCGTCTCCCTCTCTCTCTCTGTGAAGCTTTCTTGGGAGCTGGTGTTCCGAGCTCGGGTGTGCGCAGGTTGAGCTCGCAATGAAGTTGCTGACGCGGATGCGGCAGGAGCGGGAATCAAGATCTGCTTCCCTTGTCCGGTCCTGCACGGATTCAGCCATAGTGGATGTCCTTGTCACTCCTATTATCGTGAGCTGTGACTGAAAAGCATCTAGCCAGGCACATCCCAAAATAGTTTCAGCGGGTATAAGAGAAACCATAAAGGTTTGTCCATGCGAGAGTCTTCGCGGGCCATCAATTCGGCGCAAAGCAACACATCAAGTTACTTGTGATATATTGTGCTAAGGCCGAAGCTCCTGCCTAGAGCGGGCGGAGTCTGAGCCCTCGAGTTGAAACTCTCTTTCTAGACCCCCCGCACGAGACAGGATGGAATCCGACCCGGGGCGCCGCACTACACGTGCTTCGGCCGGACATAGTTTTTGTTAGTCATTCTCTTGACTTCATTATGCTGAAGCACCTGGTGTTCGGTGAGCTACTTCGTAGTTGAGGCTTCGTCACCAGTATCATGCTCGTAGTGCCATTATGGGAAAACAATCAGTTTGTTGTGTTTTCCTGGTGTTGTGCACCGAGCGCTTTTCTTGGTGTTGTTGCAGCAGCAACGGCAGCAAGTGTTGACGTCGTCATTGATAGTGTTCGCTCTTGGCATTGTGGTGATTTACGTCGTTGTGTTCGTTTGTTGCTACTGCTTGCTGCTAGCTGTCTGTTGTGCGTTAATGCTGATGCTTTTCCTGCTACTGTGGTCGTCGCCGTCGGATCTTCCCACCTCTACTCTACTCACTCCTCGACACTCCTTGTGCCTCGTAAGGTTTCAGCCTTTGCTTATGTGGTGTTGCACCCCACGAAGACTCACTGTCCAACGACTGCCTGCGGGAGAACCATCAGCCCTTCAACATCCGACCTCCCATCATGACACAGCCAGAAGGAAACCCCATATACAAAATCTCTATGGCACCAGTCCTCCCAACCTACCCCGAGGTGCACGTTTATTGGCCTGGCCGCAGCAGGTGCTGTAGGGTTCAGGATAATCGTGGGTTTGGGCCAATTGTGGGAATTGCTGGAGGCTCCCGTGTTTGGCTGGCAGAATCTTCGGCTGTTCTCATGTTGGGTAGTTCTATGCACGGTTAATGAACTACAATTCCATCTTGAAGCATTGGCAAGCCCTGGTTGCAACACTGTCGGAACTTGGTACCATGCGGGATTTGGGTGACGGCTGCAAGGCTACCATCGGCCAGAATGTACGGATTTATCAGAATCAAACGAGTCGGTGGACGGAAGCTGTCCCGTGGAAGCCAGGAGCACTAACCAGGCTCTAGACTCTAGACTACAATTGTGTAGAGACCCCCGCTCTCCCCTTTTGTTTTGGGCTCCCACCGCTTCCAAGCTTGACTTTCCAAAGACGGGGGAACACTAGCAAGGAAATGCAAGGAAGCCCATCCGAGCCTGGCCTCCCACAGACTACTACGAAGATGCCACCCGCGTCTTCCAGCGCCTGGTCGACGTCGGAGGAGCACGAAGCCAGCTGCGGAACTGAATTTGTCTGGTAGGGGCGGTAGCTTCAGAAGTGATTTGGGACACGTGTAGGGTGGACGGGTTCAAGTTTTTACGTTTTTCGCTTGACTCTTACAGCTTTATATAGTGGGGGGTGAGACTGTTCATGTCTTCCCAAGTAGGTAAGCAGGTCAGTAGGTTCCGAGACACAGGTTTTTACCGAAATCACCCGGAATCCGAAGCCCTACACGCACATGGGTTCACAAAAAAAAACCTGCGTAAAATCAATATGCACCCTGAGCATGAACATCTAAGGTTCCCGTGCGAGCCCCAGAAACGGTCGCCAGATTGTTTCGTTGCCGCCACGAATCAGGAATCTACCTTATTTATGCATTGTTCATCACAGCGCATGATGCAAGAACCCCTTCTGGCCGAGAGCAAGATGGGTTTTCAGGTACAACATGATGATGGCCATTCACAGCCGGCGCGGTGACATGGAGGCCGCTGAAGAAGTCTTGGTGCGCCAGCTGCACGAGTGGCAGTGGACGGGTGCTGGGGACAGCTCCTGCAGTCTGCAGTGCCATACTGAAGCGCAGATGAAACCGTTGTCGACCTACAGTAACTCAGTAGGGAAGGGTATGACTCGGACTTCCAAGCAAAGCCTGCGCTTCGTCGCTGAAACGCTGGCGAGACACTCCCTGACGCCAGCGGGGCGGGGACTTTTTGCGTTGGCCGAGGAAGAGATGACAGAAGCCGGTTGGCCCGCAGACGTGTGTCCCGGATTGCAATTCAAGTCTGGAAGTGTTCAGGGATTGGCGTCCATGCACTTAGCGTCGAAATTGCTACAAACAGCTCAGCAACATCTCTCATGACTGCTGTCGGACCGAGGACGACCTACCAAATCCTTGTACAAGGCTATGTCGTTGCTCGGCGCAGGGTGGAGGTTCAGGGAGCTCCTGCCGAGCTCTGGCTTGCTCTTTCCCTGGCTAGCTGGCAATGCTTGCGACATGGGCATACAATCAGTATCGGTCAGTATCGTAGATGCTGATTAGACCGATGAACTTGGCCCGATCACGGCCGCGGGCAAAGGCAAAAACGATGGCAGCAAGTTGCATGCGATGTGTCCCATGTGGTGCGTGTGCGTGCCTTGCCAAGCTGAGCCCAGAAATTCCAAGAGGGTTTGTTGCAAACCGCAGCCCTGCAGCTTCTGCAAAGATGTGCCACAAGACGAGGCTGCTTGCGACTGGCCTGCAGCGCTGGCGTTGGAAGAAAAGGCTGGGAGGAGAGTTGTCAGAGTTGTGAGCTTGAAGGGTTTAGGTGAGAAGGCCCCTCCCAAAGACAGAGCCTCTTTGCTGCTAACCTGCTGGAACATCATGTCCCTGATGTGGTTTCGCTTCACTCGTCTCTTCTCGGAGGTCGCTGATCTGCGACGTGGCCTCGTTCGAATACGGGAGGTGCGGGTGTAGCCTGGGAGAACCCATTAGACGTCCTGCTTCCGTAACAGGCTCCGATTGCAGTAACTGGCATCAGTCTTCTCTATTGACTCTATTCACAACATTGCTCGTGCAGGATGCCGGCGTTACCCAGGCTGCAACTCGCCAGATCCGATTTCTGCAGCCGAGGATTTGCTTTTACGCAGCCAACACCGTACTACCAGGTTACTAGGTACATAGAAAGACCCTGTCCTCGGTACGGACCTTGTAAGCGTTTGTCTTCACAGCAGGCATTCGGCAGAGGGCCATATGATATGGCTTTTGCGCATAGGGCGTAGGGTTGATTCCGTGCGGTGACCCAGCTGTTCACGCAGTTGGCAGCTGGCAAGTGGCAATTCAGATTCAAGTAGACGTTTTCCGAAGCGATAGAAGAAAAGCGAATGTGCATGGGGGCTTCCTTCCATGCAGGCTAGGCCAGGCTGGCCTGTTTTGGCCTGTCTTGGTTGCGCTCAGGCCCAAGAGGCCGCCAATGGGCAGCTGCAGCAGAAGCGGGTGTGGACAAAGGCCAGGACAGCTGCAAAAACAAGTCAGCTTGTTCTTGGTTGGACACGGCATGACCGAACTGATCAGTCACAGTCATCCGGTTTTAGCGTACGGGCTTTAGAGGTACTAAGTTAGGGTTCGAGCTTTGCCGATTTCGGAAAAATTTTAAGCATGTGATTTACGGGCCGGTAGGTCTTAATCTGTTTCTCGTGAGCCTTGGGCCATCAACCGTGGCTCTACTCACTACATTGCTGAAGTCCTGAAAAGTGTTGCCAGAAATGGCTTGTGAAGGTATACCACCTGCTTGTGGATGCTGCCGTGTACAATGCCGACGCTCGCGCGAATTTATCCACGAGACGACATCTAATTTGGAAAGTGGCTGCGCCGGGCAACGCTCGCAGCCCCAAACGTGCAGGTAGGGCCAAATCATTGAGGGCTGGAGAGCAGTGGTCTTCCTCCATTTTAACATGCACTTAAGTCAACTTGAATCTTTAGGCTGCGAAGAGTTCGCACGTAGGTCTGTCAGCTCTTGCATTTCAAAGAGATGCGAATCCTTTTTGAGGGTGTCAGGGAGTTTCGAAACGCTCCAGCCTGCAACCCATGGGAGACCCAGAGTTGGGCACCCTTCGTCGAGTCCCTAGGAATGGCCTCGCGCGGTGCAAATCATCGAGGAGCTCATCGGCTATGGACTGACTCCTGGATGCAGCCAGACGCGCCCGAATCCTGAGCTCTCACATTGGGGAAGCCGACGCCAGACAAAATTGAATCCACAAAGCCCTCAACAACCCTAAACCAAAGAAAAGCTTGAATGATCTCCACGCCTGTTAAGCGGTAGAGATGTGGTTGGGTCCTTTTGTGGGTCTTGTACGTAGTCTCAGAGTGCGTCTATCTATCTGTCCATTTGTCCATCTATCCGTCGGTATCTACATTTGTGAAGAATACCAGCCATCGAAGGCTGAAAATGCAATTGCAGTCTCGAGCATTGACCCAAATCTGCCTTCAGCCGAAAGCCTCTCTGCCTAGTATCACCGAGCAACTCATGCATGGCCCCTACCAAAGCCCTGAGAAAGGCCTGTGAACTATGCGAAGCATGCCCGTGCCCTCGCAGCACCAACTTGTTGTGAAGAGTCAAGACGGCTGGGGGGTGGAGAGTTCGTGGGCTTGGGCTGGTCTTCCGGATCGTTGGGGATTCATCCGCTGTAACGATCCACGGTTAACCTCAGTCAAGCTTGCATGCCTTATGACCATGAACGAAACACTTCTTAACTTCTGAATTAGGTGGCTGAAGTTTGATTGACTAAGACTGATCTTCAGTCCCGAAACTTCGAGAGGATGAGATGGATGCCCCGACTTGCAACGCCTGGCATGCCTCGTGCTTCTTTTGCGCTAGGCAGCCAGCACGATATCCGGAAACGAGATTCAACCTACGGCATTGCGGTCCGCTATTATAGCTCCCTAGCCATCTCTTCACACAAGCCCCTCTCTGTCAAAGGGGTTAGGGTCTCACTAGCTGTGCATCTTCACCGCCGAGGCCTCCTGGAAGACACCTTGCCCTCCACCAGAGCTGGACTTGCAATGAAAGGCACGGGGAGGGGACTTAGGGCTTAGGAAGTTTGCACCCATCAATCGAGCGCAGGCTCCATCTCACAAATGCCTTCGCAGGTAGCCATTGAAGTCTTCGGAGGAAATGCAGGCTTCGGGCAGTCAAGAGTGACGGGTGGTGTGGTCACCTATTTTGCAGTGGAGCCTCAGGTATACCCTGCCTCCCAGGGCTCTTGAGAGCTTCTTTAATATGCAAAGTGCCCATTTACGTTAAGATGTACGTCTACATGACATGTTACAAGAAATGTCAATCCAATGTGGGCATGCTCTAAAAGTGAGCGAAGCAGAGGCGTCTACAGTCGTGGCACGAACATGGACTGGGCAACTGCAGATGAGCGGCAGAAGGTCCTGAGACGACCTGTTTTGGCGTGAACTCGGGCGGGATTTGGGGCTTAGCAGGTTTTAAAGGCGGGGCTGCGAGTGATTTGGCCCACAGCCGGCCATTGACGGCTGGTGATTCCTGTGCATTTTGGGTCAGCTTTGACAGGAAGCCTGAATTCGCACTTACATTGTAGTCAAGACGGATCTGATAATCTGTTTTTTGGTCTGCATGGTGGTCGTGGCACGGGGTCATTGTTCTTGCCTCCCTTCGTTAAGCGTTTCGGACTAATGCACTCCAGAATGTCTATATTGATTTATGTCTGCTGAGTGTTACCGTGGTTATTATGGATGGCATCCCTGGGTACAGTTCCCTGTGGTATCTGCAGAATCGACGTTCAGGAAGCGAGGGGAAAGCATGCTCACAGGTACATTCTGTTCCGCTGCCGCCCTGCTGGTCAGGGTGGGAATGACTCTGGAACTTGAAGTTTCGGGCCTAGACAACGCGAAGATGAGATTTCAGGTTGCAGAGAATTGTTTCGTGCGCGCTGAACCACAACCTTGGACGGAACGTATTCCTACAGTTGTGGGTGCCCGATGCGGAGCCAACCCCGAGTCCGCATCCAGCCACGGTGACTAAACCGTCACCCTAAGCCCTAAAAGCTTGCTTGTGTTCCTAGCAGCCCTAGCAGCTGGGCCTCGCGTCGCCGTTTGGCTATGGACGCCCGCGCCACGGAGCTGTGGGCCCATGCGCCGGCGATCATCGCAAAGCTGGAAGCTGCCATCAAACAGTCATGGCCCCGGGGGTTGTACTTCCTGTCCTAGGGTCAGGGTTAGCTGGTATCCTTGCAGGCAAGTCCGCAGGATGGCAGCGCGTAAGCCGTTAGCTTTGTTTGGTGTCCTGTTCCAGCCTTGAGGAACTCGCCGGCCGCTCGGGAGGACTGCAAAGCTACATTGGAGGGATTGGATTGTAAAGATTTTGGTACGGTTCAGGGGCCCTTGTTTATGAGATTGAGAACCGCGACCTGTTCATATCGAAATTGCAGTCGAGTACGTTTCCTGCCATTTTCGGGCATCCCCCGAGCTATTCGCTTTGTTGAGGTCCTTTCTAGTTCTTTTGACCAGATGTTCATTCTTGTCATGGCTCATGTCACGGGCAGGAGCTGCTAGCGGTGCTTGGTATCGATGGCGGCCTGCTGACGGTGGAGGAAGTCCGGAGTTCAAGTTAGGTTTTCGTTTGTCAAAGCCTTGGAGCTGAGACACTGCGTGTAGACATCCCACCCCCCGAAGTTTACGTCCTTGGCTCCTGAGGCTGGACACAGTTGCCGCGCTTCCTGCGAGTCCGCTAGTTAGGGAACAATCCAAGCTCAGACCTCAGACATGATCATGCAGAATGCAAGAAAGGACGCAAAGCCTGGCATCGACGATTTCGAGTATGCCCTGCAGGCACTTGCTGTGAGCGACTCATGCTTGTGTCAGAACCTAGCTGCGTGTGTGTGTGTGTGTTTTCTCCACACCTTCTTGCCCAATGTGCGTTTGTCAAGCTGCCTCCTCGCATGCATCGATGATCCACTGAAATGTTTTCCTGTGCATGTTTCTGACCGCTGATCGTGGCGAAGATTCGGTGGCCAGGTATTGTTGATTTGGTGCAGGCCTCCTTCACCACTCCCCTCACTGGTCTTCTGCCGGGGATCCGGCGCGGCCTCGACCACCCTGCGCTCTTGGCCAACACAGCTCAGACCCCTCGAAGCCATGCCGGCCTTGTGCGACTGTGTGAGTCGAAACCCGGCAAACAGGCCGCGGTGCTAGATCGTCTGGAGCCACATGCAGATCCAGCGCAAGCCAAGGAGAGGGAGGCCAGTACTGGACAGTTGTTGTCATGTGATTTGTCTTGGGGTCGTGGCTCGAAGCACTCCAAAAGTCTGCTGCCGAATTCAGCATGATGCACAGTGACCTTATTCACGGATGTTGATGTATCCCATCTCTTCACCCCCCACAGGCCTCCTTTCAAGTTTCGTGCAGCGAACTCACCCCAAAACCGCTGCTCCTTTCCTTCACACTTTGTAGGCTCAAGTGCCTCGAGCACTGGAGCTTGCTGCCGACGTCGTCGCAGCGCTCTTTGAGTACTCAGCAGCACCCGAGGTCTCCGCGGCGGAGACTGACAGGTGCACGCAACGCGCCAGACATCCATTCAAAAGGGCAGATGTTGAGTGCCCAACTGTAAGGAGGGCAATGCGAGTCGGACTTGTCAAGCGTCAAGACGGAATGCGATGCACACGTGTCTTCCTGTCGGCTTCAGGTCACGTTTGCAGCTGTAGGAGATGACCTTATCTATCCTGCGCTTCTTGATAAGTGCAGCCTAAACAGGTGCAAGTCGTGGTGGATGATCTTCGTGCAGATCGCAGAGGAGACCACAAAGCTCGTATCCCTAGGGCGACGCGGACTTGCTTCGTGCATTTTGGGGCTCCACAGCGACAGACTAACAAAGCTCAGACAGCTGGCATTCAGTGGAATTGCAATAAGCCTTGCGAGGTCGCCTTTTCGAAGGCGGTTTCTGAGCCGCGCAGGCCCGATAGGCCCGGCATCCCAGATCCGAGGCAGCTGGAGAAGCTGGTGGAGGTCTTTGAGCGCAGCCTCCTGAAGCTGCGCAAGGCTCCTGAACGCCGTTGCGCTGTTCCTCTAAGCCTGGCTGTATGGGTTGACGAGAGCGCAGTGCATCTACGAAGACACCTCCATCTCGTAAAAGCCAACCTCTTTCATCGAGTGCATTGTGTAAGAGGTGCTGTTCCCATACTGACTGCTTGTGTTCCAAAGCGACCATGGCTGCTACTCAAGACGACGAGGACCAATGGTGCTGCAGCATGATCGACGACGACGACGACAACCATTTGTGCAGATTCAAGCAGCAAAAACAAACTCAGAAACGAGTTTTCGAATCAGCGTGGGGCGCACAGGGCAGCAATGGAGGTCGCAGATTCGTAGATGGTCGTTAGTATAGCCGCGAACACCAAGTACGACTCCGGGAAGAAAAGTATGGTGTAAAGAGTACATTATTCAAGTAGTCGTCTCCACCCAAAATCGCAAAAAAAACGCACACACACACACACAATTCCCCAAATGCTGCCAGGCTTCGCTGGCTTTAGCTGCACAGCGGCTGAAGGAGTTCGATGCGAAGCAAGAGGCGGTTCTTAGATTCAGTGTTTGGGCTTTGTGATCATTTTGGAATTGCCGCTCGGCTTCGGGGTTGAGGATTTCGGGGGTATGTGATTTAGGCTCAGGGTTTATCGTTGTCTTGCAGACCACAAGCTGCATTAACATCCACGGTGTGCACAAATAGCTCGCTGCGTCCGATTTTTTGCAGCAGTTCCCCACGTCATATTCTTTGGACAGGATGCGTCCGGCGAGCGTGTCCCGGTGTGGTGCGGTGCATGTTATTTGTGCGGGGCGTGCACCCGGAGCCTGGACTCGTCGTAAATGATACTACACGGACCACTTTTGGCCATCGAAAAACCTGAATCTCAACAGTACTTCAAACTTCAAACTTCTGAATCCCGCAAGCTACGGGGGGAAGCATAAGTCTCGTTCTCCCGATGCTCGCCAGTACTTCGGGACTCCTTCGGGGAAGCAGCTTTGCGCTTGCGATTCCACTGTGCTCTCGAATGTTCCTGAATCCCGCCAATAGCATTGGTGCCAATAGCATTGGTGGGCGTGTTCTGAATGTGCCAGCATTTGGAGGAAAGCATTTTGCAGTGTCCTGGTGTCTCCTGGTGGTCGTCTCCCGGGGTCTGGTCTCCTGCTGGTCTCTTGATGTGGAAGCACGGGTGTGATAAGAAAGACGCAGCTGTGCTAACATGACCGGCAAGAGGAAGGCAAGACTACCGGAAGCCCGCAAACTTGAAGCGACCGTTGCAACAGAGTCTCATTCTCCTGAAAAAAACAGGCCTTGAGCAATGTCATTAAGACAGCCATTCATTGCGAGGCAGACATGAAGGCCGCCAAGGAAACCTCCGAGGAGAAAAAGTCCGAAGCCCGTGTGACTCGGACCTGTCAGTTTACTGGGCTTTGCTGTCTTTGTGTGATTGTCCGTGCCTGCAGAGTTTAGTGTGCATTATAGGGGCTCTGCCTAGGGCCAAGTTGGGCGGAGCGGCCTTGTCGGAACAGGCTCATATGCTAACTGGACCGACATACATGCTGTCGGCAGAAAGTGCGGATCTTGCTGCCGCAGCAGTACCTCGATTTTCTTCCGGGCTGAAACTGAGGCAGCCAAAGAGGCGAAAGAGCGTGAAACCAAGCGATTGGATGAGCGAGTCTTGACTTTGAATTGGCTGTGCGTTCTGTGCGTGGCAGTTGCAGAACATGCTGAACCCTTGCTGGATTGCGTGTGCCGCGTCTAGAGTCCAAAGCAGCCAGGCCAGTAAAATGCCTCAATGCCCTTGTGAGGCCCGCCAAAGCTTGGGGCAATCCTGAGGCCCCAATCTCCTCTCCCAGAGAGAGAGAGAGCGCAGCCAGCCTCCCAGTCCTAAACCGAATCCCACAAAGTTCTCAAACTCGAGGAAAAAAGCTTATCTCCCAGCTCGGGGTGTCTCCGAACGGCCACGTCTTCCTGTCACTGCGGCGAATAAATTTGAGGGGCTTCATGGAGGGCAATTTGAGGGGTTTAGGTCTGGGATGCATGTTTCGTCTTTTCTAGTCGCTGTTGGGGCCGGGAATTGAAGGTTGTGGGTTTCGGTTTCACCGTCGTTATGGGAACCATGATTCCATAGTCATTGTCGTCATCACCCATACATTGATCGTCATCATTCGGGATGATTAAGCGTTGGTCTTTTTGTCACGCACTTCATCCTTCCCGTTTTGACCGTGTCGAGACAGAACGATTTCCTTGCTTTTGGCTGGAACCGGCGGGCTTGGAATAGCTGCCAGCTGAGGACGATGACCTCGCTGTTGAAACAGCTGAGCTCGCGTCTCGTAGGCTGGTGCCGGGAATGGGGCTGTGAAATTCACCGATCGTTTGTTGAGGGCTCTGGGTTGAGGGTCAGATGATGTGACTTGTGCCGTTCACGGGCCGCAACGCGCATAGCCCTTCCATGGCGGAGTGCAAAAACGGTAGCAGCGGCTACGGTATTCCAACCAAAGCTGTGATTTATTATTATTATTTGTTTTTTTTTTGTTTTTTTTTTGGGGGGGTAGATCGAAGAATCCACATGAAGGTCACTCCAGAAACGCCTGCCCGAAACAACCTGCACCCGAACCAACGACGAAATTTACAAATGTCATTCTGCATCTGTATGCATGAAGGTCTCTTGACATGTGTATGTTTGCGACGCAGCCCAAAGCTGCAGTATGAGATTTCGCGACAACAAAGACCGAGGGCTTCGACTTTGAATATGGTCCCTTTACATGTCATTATAAAGGGTATACAGGATATACATATGTATGAGTATTATTTATGTACATGTCCTTGTCAGCAGAGACAGAGACGCAGACAGAGTTTTCAGGTCACGGGGGCTTTTGTGGTTTGGGCTGGGAGCGATCAGGCTCCTTCAACTGCCGGCTTCGAGCCCGGATTTCCCTGCTCCTGGAGCGACTGTTAGCCCTGGACCACAAGGTCGCAGGGGATTGTTGTTTGGAGGGGAGGGGGGCGGGACGGCGAAGAGTTGAGGATTTAGGGTACAGAAGTTCCATGGATTCGACAGGGGTAACCGGGTCAGCCGTTTCAGGGTTGAGGGCGTCAGCATCCAGAGCTTTGCAAAGTTGTTTAAGAGCCCTGTCATTTCTCCTGGACCTGAGCCACAGGCATGCAGGCGGGATGTTATGGTCTAAAGGTCTTGGAATCAGGGCTTTTGGAATACAGAGGCTTGGGCGAGCGGCTTGGGTATTTTGGATGTTGCTAGTGGCTTTTGTGCTGGCTTAACGAGCTGGGAAACCAGGTAGACCATTGATAATGGTCTGAGGCTGTAAAGATTTAGAGCGCAGGTTTGACTCGGTAGCTTGCCCGAAGGTCAAGAGCCTTTGTATTGCTTTGATTGGTCTTGCATCTAAGATTTTGACATCCTTTTCCACGCAAGTCTGCTAGCCTGGATTAATGTGTTGTACCATGTTGCCGGTTTCTGTGCTTCCGGTCACAAGCTGTCAGATCGATTTTGTGGAAGAAAAGCTAGATTCTTTGCTTTGTCCGACAGGCCATTGCCAACAATCAGATGCTTTGCTGAATCCGATGTGGAGCTTGCTCAGCAGCGGCGTTGTCTTGCAGAATCGGTGTGTTTCGATGAGCGTCGTGGGAGGAGCAGAACCTTCCTTGCAACACAACATTCGCTGTGCTTGCAAAACTACGGCTGTCGAGGAAGACTCGAGCTCAGGACTTTGCCCCTCCGACCGCACTTTGTTTTGGGGTTGCGGGCTCTTGCCATTCAGTTCGGAACAAGAGCATAGGCATAGAGCAGTCTCTCAGCCTGTTGAGGAAACCCTGGCCACGCCCAAGTTGACACACTTCAACTGTGAGCATCCAAACCTCCAAACCTGACACACAGATGCTTCGCAGAATAGCACGGATGCCTACCATCGGATTGCCCATGCTTTACCCCTGGAATTACAACCAAACTGAAATGATGGTAAGCTCGAGCGCCTCACCAGCCAATCTGCTGAGTACACTGTGGACGACTTGGACATCGACGTGAAGGCTGGCAGTGGTGCCGGTTCTCATACTGATGAGTGGGGCAAGTGTTTGGCCGCTAGGCCTACACACGCCCACGCGCCGGAAAAGTCCTGTGTCAAAGCCGAAGCAAGGGGTGAGCATTTTCGGACACAATCTGAATTGCTTCTGGCAGGCTCTTCCATATTCTCTGGATGTTAGCGAGGCCAGCTCGGTGCCGGAGGTGGGCCTGCTGGAAAGGGAAGCGAGGTGGTAGGGGCGCCGCATAAGCGACTAAAGTCCGTCACGACGTTTGCGGCTGCTTGCCCCTCATCATGGTCTGGGCATCAATGACAGGCCCGTAGGGCCGTAGGGGAAAGGAAGCGTTGAAGAGCAGTTTCTGATTTATGTTATTTATTCTCCTTTTGTGCTAACTACCTGGCTCGGTGTGCCACATGTACAAGTAGCAAGTAGCAATCTCAGACCGAACCCGCCATGCCTGCTTTGAGCGAGTGTGTAAGTCCAACAGGGAAGTGTGGGGCCTTGAGCTTCAGATTGACGGTACCGCTCGTTGCAGCTGGTCACCAGAAGACGACCCACCGTAGCACCAGTCCCGCCCTTTTCTGCAGAGCCCGCCGAGGTGGTGCCGGCGCCGGCAGAGAAGGAGGTCCTTCGACCATTCTAGGATGGAAGTTGCCATGCTCGACGCTTCTCTCGTTCGTCTTCTGCCTTGTGCTTCTCCCCATTTAGCCCAGAACGTGTTTGGATGGCCGGGAGGCTGTAGGACAGGTGGATGGATGGATGGTAGGAGACAGGAGAGGGGGGAAATGAAGGGAGTGTCGCATTATTGCAGAATCCTCGGAGCAGGGCCTTGAGGAAAGGCTGGAGTGGGGGCGAGCGACATGGTGGGGTGTGGTGGGTGGATGTTCGGAGCCAGTGCTTGAAATGCCGCATCGAGAAGCGTTGATTCGCCGTTGATAGCCTTCCAACAAACTCATAGTGACATGGTACATTCCGACCAGTGAAGCTGCTTCTTTGGCGCTTATGCATCTCTGCAAGCAAAGAGACATCCCCAGCATTCCTCAGCAAAGGCATGTTGGATTGACTATGTGCTTCTCGGTTGCTAGGTCCTAGTTCTTGTGGTTGTGACCTTGAACATGTTTGTGTGAGATCGGCTTTTATCATCTCGCAGCTTCGTGGCTTGTGAGGCACCAGCATGCCCAATAATTTTCACTAGCTAAAATGCCAACCGCCAATGACGTCGCCGTGCTGGTGGTGTCCGGATTGGTTCAAACAGTGGTATTTTGCAAAGCTTTGTATTTGTGTTTCGTTCATTTGCCTCAGCTGAAGATATCAGTTTGCGGCTCTTGGTTGCAGAGGGGAGACCAAGCGGATATAACACCAGAACGTGCGATGGAAGAAAGGATGGCGAATAAAAAAGTGCGCGAGCTGCAGGTCCGGATGTGGACTACCTATTTTCAAGTGGTCACCGTCGTATTGAGTATAAGTCTTCTTGGTTCAAGCATTAACATATTGAGGGGCAGACCGCGGTGGACGACACCGGCCCTTGACTGGACTAGAATTGGTTTTCTCGTCTTGGCTGCAGTACCAATGCTGTCGCCAAAGATTCTGTCCATGAGGCATGCACTGGAACTGTGCTACTTGGCGCTGTCCAGCCTTCGGTATGAAGAGATCATAAGTACTATCATAAGTCGAATGTGTCAACGCTAGGGTGTTCGGACTCTGTAACACCGAAAAGCCGAAAAACTATCTTCTTGCACCAGTGACAGTCAACTGAACAACGAAGGCGTCGTTGTGATTTTCGTGTTCCCGCTTGTGGCAACTTCGCGCGCCGGCTCTTCATCGGACCAGTTGTTGTTTATGATGACTTCCGCTTATGTAACAGTACAAATTCCGACTGCTTGCATGGCCTCCAATATCTGGTTGGTTATCATCGCCAACCTGAGCATGGTAGTTGGCTTACTGTTGAGAGCTCCATATAGTCACAGCTTCGACCCTGGGGAGTGCCTCCATGCATCCACGATGAATCTGGTTTGGCTGGAGATTTGTTTCAGCATCAGCTGTGTAATCACAGCCAGGGGAACCCAGGCGTGGAGGGCTGCTCAGAACACGTCCCATTTCAACACAGATGCACTTCCAGTTTGCTTCTGCTCCTCTGTAGTCTAGAGCTTCTACAAGGCGAGCCACCCAAGAACCTAAACCCAAACCATGTTTGGTTTACAACTAGCTTGAAGGGCTTGGTCTAAATTCGGGTTCAAGCTGATTTCTGCAGCTGGTAGATAGGTGGCGGGGGGATCCTGAGCTAGGCAGGCCAAACTTTCAATCCAAGACCGAAGTTTTGCGACGGACGGTAGTGCCAGTTGAATGAATGTGTGGCCAACTTGGACCCTGTCGAATCAGAAACCTTAAAAATCAACCCGCGCAGCAGCCCTTGAGTCGGCCTGGCTTGTCCAAACAATGCCACTCTAGACACCCAGTGACTTGAAATCCCCAGTCCTTGCCTATATCCTTTGTGAAGGTTTGAATCTGTAACAGCCCTGTACAACCCTACTACGTTACTACCAAGTAGCTACCCATGAACCTCCGAGAAATCCCAGACCAGGCCCATCCAGCCCATGGCAAGCAAGGATGCTTCACTGATTGGCTAACCTTGAACAGTCATGTTGTATGCAGGCCTTTCTGAAGATGAATGAGCGTCAGCGGATTCGCTACAGACGCGCCTAGGTATACTTATGTATGTATGTATATATATATATGTGTGTGTGTGTGTTAATTGGGTTCCATACGTTTTGAGTTACTTTAACCCAAGAACATTTTTTGGGTCGAGCTACTGTGGTTGAATGGGCTTTATTTGGGCTCGTCGTAGCTGTATGAAGCTTGCGAACTTTACAGCCCCGCGATATCCCACCGAAGCCTCGGTCGACCGGGCAACAAAGGAGCAACTACGGAGCTTGATGCTGCCACGTCTCTGTTACAACTGACTTGCGATGCAGTCGTTGAGCTGGACGAGGACGACAGCTTTTACCAAACAGTTGGTGACGACCTCCACTTGTAGGCTAAAAGCCAGCATAGCCTGCAAAATCGCACGCACTTAAAGAGCCATCCTCACGGGGGGGAGTTGGACTAGGGAGTAGGGTTTAGGCTTCAGCCAACGGGAGAGCTTGAAGTCTTCAATCTGTGCGCCTTGTGAACCGGAGACATCATGGCTAATTTTCACGACTAAGGTGTTTTGAAAGCAGGCGGCCATGGTGTTGGGCTGCTACTTAGAATATGTCAGAAAGAAGGTTAAGACTAGAAGTGCAAAGAACAACTGTGAGAAGACTGCTGCTGCTTGATGTGTGCAGTCAAGCCAGGGGGGGCCCCGTAAGACACCTGTTCCAATAATGGCTTCGCCAGAGCCATCAGCATGAATCTCTCTGCCGCAAAGATGCTGTAATGCTGCTTAAACAATCCAGATCCCTCACCCGAAGCCCACATCACCTTTCCCGAAACCTTGTTTGAAGTGTCACAGTTGCGACAGTACAAGAGAGTGTTTTTTTCCTCAGTGTGGCTTATCGACTGGCACCAACAGGACTTGTGCCTCAAGGAGCATTCCAAGGAGTTGGCGGGGATTTTGCTGAGAAAGCCCGATTCCTCGCTGGCAGGCCGCAGTGTCTTAGTCGATCTGAGCAAGTGCTTTTAAGACTTTGTAGGACCTTTGAGACGGTGCTCAGATGTGTTTCAGTGCTTCTACCGTTTGCACACAGGGGCTCTGATGTGATGAGTTCAATGCGTGATTTTTAAAACTCAAGCCTCGTTGGGATCAATTACGCAACACCCAGTACCAGGGACATCATAAGCGTTTTCGAGCCTGTGAAACGAGTCAAGGCTTTATGGAGTTTGTCGTCAGCGATCCCGAAAAGGTCAGCGTGCGTCACAAGCTCTCGGATTCAGCACGTGGCGCGGAGCGCGTCAACGAATGTTGCGCAAATGCGTTTCATACCCGTTTGGTGGACAGTTGCTGCAGCAAGTTTCGCACAGAGGTGTTCCATGTGAGCTTTCGACGGGAGGATGGCGAGCAGTGTCATCTAGTTGGATTGCGAGATTTCACAGACCAGGAGTCCTTGGCAACGGCTCATGCAAACCGTGACGGGGACGCCAGAAAGCGACATGGGCGCTTTGTCTCTGTGGATGTACGCCCGCAGTCTTCGAGGAGCTCCGATCCCAATGAGGAGGCAGGTGCTGTTGAAGAATATGCGGGGGCCTTTTTTTCCCAGCGGGGTCCCTAAACAGCCCGAAGCCCTAAAGTCCCTAAAGCCCTTCACACTCACAAGCATGTTTTGCTCTCCAGAAGGATCCTTTGTTTTTCTTCAGGTCTCAAGGAGTCATACAATTTCTATGATCTTTGACATGGAGAGCCAAATGGTGGATGCGGCTTCGCCTCCGGCATGTAGCCTCATCGGCCTGAGTTTGCCGGAGCTGTTTCCAGATTCGGGCCACGAGGTATTTCAGACCGTTTGGTCCAGCGTGGCACCGTACCTTATGTATCGCATGGGAGAGCTTTCGACTCTTTCTGGTTTCTGTGTTTGGTCTAACCGAGTCTAACCATTGATGTATGTAGGAAAGTTCGAGAATTTTTGGAGGGCCTGGTTGAAGAAGAGAGGTACTTCCGAACGGAAGGAATGGAAGCAGTCACACACGTGTTACATCGCTTCGATGGATTGCTGGTACGGTGGGGTCCTTCATTAAATGAACACATCGACGGCACGGTGGAGTTGATTCAATTGCAGAGGGGTGGCTCCTGCGACTACCGCTTGCTACTCAAATGTCGTGGAAGCCCTGTGAGTCTCGCATCAACTTCACCTTCACACCACGGACAGAGCATTGGCGTTCTGCCCGGCACACCTTTGTTTGAGCACGGCTCCTTTTTGAACGCTTCCTGTGAGAACTCTGGCGCTGCAAGAACCTAACTGACTGGAGCAAGTGCTTCTAGCAGAAGGGGGACTGTATTTTCCGATAGACTGGAGTAGGTTGGGAGCGTGAAAAAGGGGGTGCCATGTGCGTCGCTTGAATCCAGCAGCATAGAGTATGTCAGTAATTTTTTGCCAGTGTTGCGCTCGCTGGAAGAGAACAGGCTTTGTCCACTTCGTATGATATCCAAAGCCGCAAGTGCCATTACAAAGTTTGCATTTAGCATACGCCCTCAGGCAACCTAGCCCGCAGACCCACACCTGACCGTCGGTCATGACATCCCTGGCACTGCAGTCGGATCAGACGAAGTCGGAGCCTGCTCCTGCAGAAGCTGCAGCTGAGGCTGGGACTGAGGTTGTTTGCGGATGCATGCTTTGTGGACTCAGGCTCCAAGGCTAAAGGGCGAAGACTACTTTTTCTCGGACGGGGGTCCACCTCACCCCAGGCTCCAATCACCGTGGCATAGGAAGGCATGCAGCGAAAGTCTCGCGTCGAACTGCTCCGGCTGCTGCGCGTAGCTAGAGTGTGCTTTGCACTGTAGTTGTCTTCATGTTCATCTGAATTGAAATTCTATGTCCTCGGCACATGTTGGCCCCAAGACACTGCCACAACTCAAGCCCCTGAACACTTGAGATGAGCACGACCCCGCGATCTGGCTTAAGTTAGTCTGGGATCCCGATCTAGCACCCCTTCACTCGTGAAACCAAGGTCTTATTTCCAAGTTGTGAACCCCTACTCGTATTGAAATGCAGCACCGCAGCCTCAAAATCTGCACGAACTCAGCCGGACACGAAGCTCGACTGACCTGTAGACTCCGGCGCAGGCCGGGACGAACGGCAACAGTCCTGCCGAGGCTTGGGGCCAAGATTTCTACCGCTTTGCCTTGGGTTTTGCGTGTTTACGGCCGCTGAATACTGAATGCGAAGGATCTTCAATGAACAGGCACTCTGTGACACCGATATTGTTGGCTGCTTCCACCAGCGATGCTCTCATAACCCGTCCCCTCATTATCCTCGTTTAAACCGTGGAAATATTGGTGGAGGTGGGCATCCGAACCAGAATAGCTGAAGCCCCATTCTTGGGATCTTTTGGGCTGAAGCTGGTGAGGGCTGAGGCCAATGCATTCAACTGGTCTCAGGCTTCCAACTCCAGATTTCAAAGTTGCTCACGGGTTCCATTCTCGCGATGTCACGCTAAGCTGCGAGCTGTCAGTGGAGGCATCACACTTCCAGCAGCTTTGCCGGTGTTTCCCCATCTCCGTGGAGCCTGTGCATAGCCTTGTAACGTGTATCCTGCAGCAGGAGAAGTTCAGCAGTTTGGGCCATGATCCGAACCTTGGGTACAACGACTACACAGGCTGCGCCACCACCACGTCGACTGCACCACTACCTACGACTACCGGCGCTCCACCTCCTCCTGCTCCAAACTCTACTTCACTATTACTACCACTACTACTACTACTACTACTACTACTACTGCTACTGCTACTGCTACTGCTACACTACTCCTCCTCCTCCTCCTCCTGCTGCTGCTGCTGCTGCTGCTGCTGCTGCTACTGCTACTGCCACTGCAACTGCCACTGCTACTGCTACTGCTACTTTCCCCCCCCCCCCCCCCCCCACCAACTAGACTTGCTCCATTCGGGCTAGGCAGTGGCAGCTTCTAGCCTCCCTTACTGCGACAGCCGCAAAAGATGCAGGGGCTCAGGCCAGGCTCCCTATCTGTGACAACTGCAAAAGTTGCAGAGGCTTGTTTTCCTGAGCTGTCACAGCCGGTGAAGTTGCTCAGGCCCCAAAACTGCGACAGCAGCTGGAGTTGCAAACTCGACGGGGAAGAAACTGCTGCACCGCAGGTGATTGGATAGTACGAAAACGCTGCAAATACCGTGCAAAATCTGGTAAACATCAAAAACAAAGTCCAGATGTACGTGGGAGAGGCTCGCCAACACCCTTGAAGCCCAGACGTCGGCGTGGGAGGGTTTGCTTTTGAAGTGGTGCATGGTGTGTGCACGCTGGGGTGTGAAGATATTGTTCGGGGTGTCCGCCGTGTCCGCGAAACAGCGTCGTGACCATCCCCCCAAAAAAGCATTCCCCCACCCAATTTTCAGTTTTCGCCGAAAGCACTCCGAAATCCCAAGGTCGAGGTCGCAAAGTCCAGCAGTATGTTTGGTGAGTGTATAAGATGGTCCGACATCACGAAGGTACTGTAAATACCGAGTAAAACGGCTCTTCTGGAGATTTTGTTCGGGGTGTTTGCGTAACAGTGTCGTCATTTTCCCCCTCCTCCCCCCACCTCCCCCCCAAAAAGCAAGTCCAAAATCCGAAGCTCGAATTTGCAAACTCGACAAGTCGATTTTGTGGCTTCGTAAGATGATCCTACATGACGAAAGTACTGTAAATACCGGGTAAAATGGATGTTGTCTTAACATGGTTAAGACCAAGTGTAGTTGTAGGGCCTACTACTACTACTACGACGACGACGACTACTACTACTGATACTACTACTCCTACTACTAAGACTACGACTACGACTACGACTACTGCTACGGCTACGGCTACGGCTGCGACTCCGAGTCCGACGACGACTACGACCACGACTACGACTACTACTACCGCTACGGCTACGGCTACGGCTACTGCTGCTGCTGCTGCTACTGCTGCTGGTGCTGCTGCTGCTGCAGCTGTTGCTACATAATGCGGCCATTACTAGGACGACTTCGAGCACCACCACTACTGCCAAAAGCTGCTGCTTCTACTGCCGCTGTTGTTGCTTCTGCTGCAACGACAACTACATGGAGTCGACTAGCACTGTATCCCAGTGTTTTCTGTCTATTCTTGCTGATTGGTAGATTGTCGAAAACTTGCTAGCTGAAGCGAGCTCTTCCAAGATACCTCCTGGCTGCTAGCATGTACTAGTTTCTCCTCGTTTCTGAATTCACTGTTCGAATCTAGATGTTACTAGTACTGTCCTGTGAGCTTGTGTTTGGTGGCCAATCTATTTGTTACTTGCCCAGGTTTGCTAGCTTTCTCTGTGTTGATAGTGTAGCAGTGTCTTCTTATCTAATTATGCCGATCAATCGATTGTGAGATTGCAGACCGTTCGAATTGCGAGTGCAAAGTTTTAGCCCTGCCTTTGCCTGCTTCGGCTCGCCAGGTTTCTGGGCCTTGCAAGAGTCGCTTCAAGTTGCTGAGAAGCCGCTCGCATGAGAGTTTGGCATCGGAGGGATTGGAGATGAGAGGATGCCGTAGGAGTTGCTCGGACATTGCCAGTCGCTGTATCCACAATCTTGAATGGCTTGCAGGCCAAACTTGGCCTCCTGCCGTTGCCGCCAGCATCGGCCTCCTAGAGTCTTTAGGATATCTCCTTCGGTGAAACTTGAACTCCCTTCAACCCCTGCATTCAGACTATTTGTCTTCTTGTTTTAACCCCGGATGCATTGTTTCTCAAAGACTCGCTGTCAGAACTCAGATTCAAGAGCCTGTGCTTGCAAGCTCACGCTGTTCGCTCCCTTTAGTTGACGTTACCGCGCATTAAGACCAAGCCCGTGCCGCCCCAGTTTCACCATTCTGGTATTGTACTGACCAAGAGTCCGGCCCTCGAGGGTCGCGAAGGGCCCTCGTCACAAGGCGCACTTTACGCAAGCATCCCGAGGCTCTTCGAGAAGCCCGAGAACTGGAAGCACTTCCACGAGCCCTGGCCCGTCCTAGCTCAGGGAATGGGTCGCGTCTGTGAGGATGACCCATCTAAGCGGCGTCGTCATATGAATCTTCCTGCTGATTCAATTCATATTCCCGTTCGATTCTGCTGGTGGCAGGTTTGGTTGGATTTTACAGGAAGTTCACTGCGGACGGTGGGACGTGTTGTCCTTTTTGGACCTGTAGAGACTGTCGAGTTTGCCGCTGCAATCCCACGAAAAGGGCTGCGAGTAAAGGAAGCCATCAGCTCATTTGCACTGTTTGGTGGAGAGTTCTGCCAAGTGGTCCGATGCCTTGGGATTTCGGTGGCAGCAGGAGCTGTGTTGCAGGCTTCTGGCCAAAAGCAGTGATGGCTCGGAACAGCTTTCGACATCCGAATCCCTGAACCTGGCAGAAAAGAGCCCGAAACAACAAGCAAAATCTGATGCGCAGATTCTGAATCTTGGAGTTGAGTATAGTTTGAACTGGAAGATCTTCGTCCAGGTGTAGTTTCCTACACAAATACCCATAGATTCTCGGTCTTCAGTCTGGTGGGTGAGGTCGGATGACTGTGTTTTGTTTGGTCTACTGGATTTTAAAGACGGCGTTAAGGCGGTGAGTGTGTATGCACACATGTTGTGTTGGTGTTTCGCGTAGTCTGGGGCTTGCCACGGCCTTTCTGTGAAAGAGCTCGTTCGGACGTCCAGCTGTTTCCTTGGAGGGGTGTCCCTGCCCTGGTACCCAGGGGGCGATGACGAAGTTGCTGAAGCAGTTCGAGATGCCTGGCGCAGATCCCGTTTGCATCCAGGTTTGAGGTTCGGATGAGGCACATGTAGGGTTTACTTCACAGTCTGTTGAGACGTGTAGGAGTTTCTTCTTGGCGGTGGTTTGCATCACATGTCCAGTCCAGCTGAATGAGAATTCCTCTGCGGTGCCCTGGCTCCGTTGGGCATG